ACATTACGCTATCTTTCCAGGTTATTAAAGGTATTGTTGATGGTTGTCGCCTATCGGACTGTGCTCTCTTAGGGGGAGAGGTATGTTTTATATTTAGAGACCCAATTCCTAGCTTTTGACAATGTAGTTTATGCATTTTTACATAATGTTGTTTTTGTTTGGTTGTTTTAGACTGCAGAGATGCCCGACTTTTATGCAGAGGGTGAGTACGATCTCAGTGGATTTGCAGTAGGCGTAGTAAAGAAAGATTCTGTTATAGACGGAAAAAACATTGTGGCTGGAGATGTACTTATTGGCCTTCCTTCCAGTGGCGTTCATTCCAATGGTTTCTCTTTAGTAAGAAAGTAAGTTGGTGATACTATGACATAGGAAGAATGTAGTTTATTGGCACTAAAGTATTCAGTGACTAAAACTAAAAGACCACAATTGTTGCAGGGTCGTGGCTCGAAGCGGTCTTTCGCTGAAAGATGAGCTTCCAGGTGGATCAACTACTCTTGGTGAAGCTTTAATGGCACCCACTGTCATTTATGTGAAACAGGTTGGTTTATTTTGTCAACATAAGTTTATCAAAGTTGTTACCAATTGCATGACGTTTTCTCTCTCTTTCTCTTTTTGCTATTCACAGGTACTCGACATAATCAGCAAAGGAGGCGTTAAGGGGATGGCTCATATAACAGGTGGAGGTTTCACCGACAACATTCCCAGAGTGTTCCCTGACGGTTTGGGTGCTGTTATTCACACTGATGCTTGGGAACTTCCACCATTGTTTAAATGGATCCAACAGGTAATGTGAATGAGAGAACGTCTATCGTTCAATATACACTTAACGAACGTGTATACCTATGATATTTGATTGTGTTTTTGGTTATTATATAGTCTGGGAGAATAGAAGACAGTGAGATGCGAAGGACGTTTAACTTGGGAATAGGGATGGTTATGGTGGTCAGTCCAGAGGCTGCTTTGAGAATACTTGGAGAAGCTGAGAATGGAGACTATGTTGCGTATCGCATTGGAGAGGTTATAAATGGTGAAGGCGTAAGTTACCATTAGAACATGTTTGTGCGAGCACCATTATCATTGTGTTTTTATTAGGACCATGAGTTGTGGTTTTTAAGTTTGTGTGAGAGAGGGGACCTCTTGTTTACGAAGTTTTAATCCATTTTTGTTACCCTGCTGGTTTGCGCCAATTTCCAGGTTTACCATGAAATTGTTCTTTTTTTGTTCTTCTGTCTCAAAGGGGTGTAATTGAGATACATTTTTGTGAGGTAAAAAATCAGGGAGATTACATGCAATTTTGAAAACTGTGTACCGTTCTAATTCTATAAAACATACACTGGTTCGTATGAATTCAAATGTTTTTGAAAGATACATACTTGATAGGAAAATTCAGGGTCTATACAATACTTGATAGGAATACACATTAATGAACTATACAATATTCATGTCTTGTATCCTCCTCAAAACTCAATGCTATTTTTATATTCTTAACAAACCAACAACAAAATGTATTACATGTAAATTACTTATGTCCAAAACTTACAATCCGAAATTAAAAAAACAAATGTGACTGAGACGCTATTGCGCGCGGCTAAACAACCTACTAAGATTTGAAGATGAAGTGGTAAAGAGAGAGCTTTTCAAGGTTTATTACCCTAGGAAGTGACTTGTAGCTTAGTAGTGTCTTTTGGTTCAGAGTTGGTCTCTTTTCCCTCTGCTGATGATGGCTTCTCCTCATTAACATGCTCTGGAGTTTTCTCGGGTGTTGTGTTCTGCAGTAGCGGGTCAGTGACTTTATTAAATGACAGTACTTGATTTCAGATCATATATGATGATGATGGTGTATTCACAGAAGAATCTATTTGGTTTTGAAGACAACATTGAGGTGTAAGAATTAAGATTAACCTTGTTCTTGTCGCGCCACCCTAGTCCAAATGGCCGAGCTAGCAAACTGATCCTGCTTTGAAGAGGTTCTGGTGACTGATCATTGGTGTTTTTGACAGGCGAATCTTGGTTTACTTGCCTAAATGTATGTATACCCAATTCAGTAAACGCACAGGTCATAAGTTGTAACATATCAAATACTTATAGTTGTTTACACGAATTATTTGTCTAAGGTAAATAATAACACACCGTGGTGAAGTTTGTGCTTTAAGTTGGCCAGACTGATATTGCAAAGTCGCTTCGAGCATGGACTCTGCCATCACCGCTCTCTTCTCCATCTCAGCAAGCGCAGCAACAGCTTCCTCATATTTTTCCTAGACCAGTTATCATATTCGTAACAGAATATATCTTAAGATAATAGATGGACGATACATAAAGGAGGAAGAACGAAAGTAACATACAGACACGGGTTAGTTCAGGATATACAAGGATTATTTTCCTAAACTAATGTGTAATTATACGCCGTGGGAGGGTGAAGTAACAACTATAGCTAGAGACAGTAAAAGTTCTGAATAGCCTCGTCACATTTTTGTTAGTAGGAGTCAGTGCGAATTTTTTTACCTGCAAGACTTGAGCCGCATATCTCTGCGCTGCTGCATCCTGTTCAGCAAATCTTCGTGCATCTTCTGTTACCTTTTGTTCTTGCTCCACCCGCATCAAGACCTTCATAAGTATCAATTAATCTCAGAATTTGTATCAGCGATAAACGGAAAAAAAAAAATTGATCATGCAAATGCAAACCTGTAGCATTGCACCTTCTTGTTCCTGCTTATCAGAGAGGAGTCTCTGAACTTCGGTCATCTCCTGCTCTAACTCTTCCACCTGATGGTCACATTCATGACAAGCAGCATTAAACATCTCAAGACTATCTCAAAACTAACTTAACACAGATGAGCCTACGAATTAGATCAGCGCAGAGACGAGGGACCAGCAGGAGAAGAGGAAAGAGAAAGGAAAGCAATGATGGTATTCACAAGTGAGGGAGAACTAGTGTTCGAATTCAGAAGATGGATAAAGAGACAAGTAACGTAATGTGAGCTCATATGCTTAATTGGGAAATCAACTTTCAAATGGCAAGCTTATGAGACTACCTTAGCACTCAATTGACGTCGGTTGTCGTGCTTGACGATCTCCATGAGAGCCATCTCCAACTCTTCAGCTCTACCATAGAATAGGAAGATTGGTAGACATTACATATAGAGGAATAATAAGGAGAGGTATAAATTTTCTACCGTTAAGTGTCCAGTTATACATTGAGCAAAGAAACTAACCTAAGTAGAGCTGATCTTTTCTCCTCCAGCAACTTGCAGAGTTCAGCCTTCAACCACAGAACCTGAAAAAGTTGCCAGCCAACTTTTCAGAAGTGGCTTCATGACTATTGGTATCAAGTGATTTTTTTCTACCTTTTCGTCCAATATAATCATCTAGCATTTGTGTACAAAAAATACCTGCGCTTGAAGATCTTGAACAGAATCTACCTCCACATCACCAGTGAGGCTAACTAACAATTCATCTGCATTACTTGATCCTGACTCGGATCGAGACAAACTCCCATTTGTCAGTGAGGCTTTACTCGAATCCAGCAAAACAGATTTCGGGTCTTGCTTAAAACTATATAATTTGGAGGCAAGCCCTTTAGAATCCCTAAAAGCTTGAAGCCCCTTTGATCTTTCCTCAAGTGCAGCTATCACCGCTGGCCTATGCTTGCTTCGCAATTCCTGCAATCTACTTTCATGGACATTTTGGTAACCCATGCAAGCAGTTAAAACGAGCTGGCTACTATCAAATGTTGATCCAGTCAGTGATTGTAACAAAGTAACAGCGTCTCCAGCATCCTTCGTTGTAACTAATGCAGGACCTGAGGTGAATTAAAGCGTAAGTTAGAGCAGTCTCAATGCTGACACTGCTGCATTCAGGAGGTCCACAAAACATATCACTTAAGTCGAAAGACTACTAGTTTCAATCAAGTACCATATAGTTCCATCAATGCGAGTGCCGTTCTGAAAAGCATAACACGATTTCCTTCATAGAGAAGCACATCCCAGACCCTAAGAACTGTAATAAAGAAGACGAACATTTAGAAAGACATTGGGTTTTCAGTCCCAAATTGCAAAGAGAAAATGATCAAATATAAACAGATTGCCATTGCAAATTGTCAATTACTCAGTTCCCAATTTCAAACAAGACAGCTTTAATTCAAATGTGTAAAACCTGACCACTTTCCCATGGAAGCATATTCATGAAGATGGAAAGAAACCAAGGCCCTGTAACCCAAGCCACTTGCACTCCAAGATAATCCAGATGATGAACTGTAGACATACAAATAATGCAGAGCATTAGTACTAACTGTGAACGTTTTGGAAGATAAAACAAGAAATCTGTGAAGGAACATACCCAATTTAGGAAATCTTTCTCGAACCAACTCCTCCAGAACTAGTTGATCAACCTGAGATAAGAATACAAGATACAGTAACATTAACTAACAGAACTTTGGTGGACGTAAAGGTACATGTTGTCATGTGGTATCACCAGTCTGCCCCAAAATTTGTGCAAATGTATAGACATGCAACTCATATGATCACCTGGGACTCAATCATTTCTTCAGAATAATAACCACTGAAGTAGTCATCAATGATTCCTGTCAATGCCCTAAAAATCACAAATATTCAGTTAGCAAGGGCATCGGTTTAGAAAAGAAAAAAATAAGAAGAGAAGACATACGGAAGCCTAAGAACAGTTAATTCAACCAGAAGAAATGAAAGAGATATATTCAACACAGAGCCAAAGAGTTTTTTATTCACAGAAAAACAAGATTAGGAAATAAACAACATTGGTTTAGGAAAAAAGGATATAAAGAATGGCCTAACAACAGTTAATTTTCAACTGGAAGAAGTCAAAGTGATAGATACACAAACTACATACAGAGTCAAGGAGTTCAATTTTCACAGAAAAACAAATATTAGGAGTTGGTGATGATGGATTCATCAAGTTTGTGAACATACCAAAAGGCATTCTCTTCGGGCATCAAAAGCAATAAAAGCGCAGCAAAGAAATTCATAGCCTGCAAATGGTATATTGACACAAGATATTGATCTTAACTTACCATGTCTCGGTACTAATATAAAGAATCATGATATTGGTTAAGAACCAATACCTGACAGTATCCAACAGAAGGATTATGCCTAGCATAAGCAGTAAGCAAGCGCCGCAGAGCATTTCTACCATCATCATCTAAGGCAGGATGACCTGGAAATGTCCGAGGCAAGTCCTGTACTTGAAATAAGCAACGACGTAAAAATCTGATAAACTTCAACATAAGCCAACACTGCACTACTAGACAGAGAGAGTCAATGCTGAATAAATTTTAGAGTACTACCTTTTCTATCTGTCCTTTCCATTTTTCCACAACAGCAAGGGAGTCAGTACTTGAGCCTTTACCATCGCCATGCTGTGTATCGTCCTGCTCTATGTTGTTTCCAGAACTATCTGCAGCAAGAAGGTTTTGGTAATAATCCTTGCTGCGTCGTTTCCTCACACCCACAAATGCTTGCCATAGCTGAAATGTTGATATATGTGACAATTATTATTGAACAAGAGCTAAGGCTAACGAACTATAGATGGAGAGACAGCATGATATCAAATAGGAAGGGAACGCAGCAATGTAGAAATGACAAGATATATTACCTCCCCCCTCAGAGCCATAGGTACACCGCCGCGAATAAGCACTTCAAGCTCTTCCTTCCAGGGACATGTAGACACTGAAGAAGTTGCATCAGCAGCAACAGGAATGCCAGAGACACTTGTACTATCTGAAGAAGAACCGTCCTGAACATCTGACCTCTCAACATCATAGAACTCGTCTTCAGAATCATTCTCAGATGCTCCCTTGGAAGATTTGGCATCATCAAATGAGGGTGAAGATTTCACCTTCAGAGCCTCTTGCTCGCCTTTTGATGAATCCCCCTTCTTCTTGATTCGGATACTCATCAATTCTTCAATTGATCGCAGAGATGGTCTGATCTCAGTCCATAATTGCACTCTGTGAACATTCTCCTCTGCATCGGGGAGTCCTTCACTTGCATTATCAGGAGTTACATCAGAACCTAACT